AAGTTATACTGAGTGTTATTATATTGCTTGTTTGTAGTGAATCTTATGCAGGCAGTGACATCTTTTCTGGAAAACCAGCTAATAACACCAAATCACTCTAGGCTTACCCTAATTCGTATCCACACTTACCTCCTGGGACGTTAATATGACCAGTCGCGGAGCAGAAAACATGCCGACCTCTTTAAAATCTGGGCAGTAGCGGTACCTGGCCAAGTTCACACCATATATGTTGGACAATGAGCCACCTGAAAGGTAATTGTCCCAAGATGACTTTACTTGTTAAGATAAAGATCTTTCTTGATTTCAACCATCCCATTTATCAATGTCCAGTTGGACACACAAGTATAAAGGGGCCGTGTTGAGTGTACCTGGGTTAAAGATGCCATCACCTCCTTCTTCCCAGCCAATCACCTTGATCATCTTCCTGAGCACAGCATCCTCCATTAAGGTAAACACTGGAGCCACCTCATATGTGTACCTGACGGAAACCACACATGTGTATGATTTAATGTGTAGTATAGTTCCTGACAGAGCAGTGGACAGCATAAATATTTCCATGTGTGACTTACAGGTTTACAGTAAGTTGTATGACTCACAGATTGGTTTTGACTGCTTCAGCAATGAAGCTCGCCACCATAGAGTAGGGCTCCATCCCTGCGTACAGCTGATTGAAGAAACGGGGATGACCTACAGAGATGGGACAGAAATACAGCACACAGCTAGGATCATATACTAACTATTAATGTGGCTTTCCTTTTAATTTGATAACATTTGTGCTAAATCATACACTTCATATTGGTGCAATGCAAATTTGTGTCACAGTCACTCAGTATGCAAGCACATCGATGAACAATTACGTATCTGGCTGTCAGGAGACTTACTTAGAGGCTCCTCTGATCTTGAAATTTGGGAAGTCAGTCAAATTTGTCAGATCTTAACACTTTCTCCTCTTAAATTTTAAATCCAAGAGCATTGCATATAGACAGCTTACATCAAATCTTTCCGTAGAGCCCAGAGATATTCATTTTGTCTTCAGTTACTGACTGATTGTGCTTTTTCATGTCCTGTAAACTGGGGCATTGAACAGATTGCTAGAGCTTCATTGAGCACTGATGCTTATTATCACACAATCAGGCATATACTGCATGGCATATGGCTTGTGGGAAACAGAAGAAGCACCAAAAGTGAAGCTGTCATCATTAGAAATCAGTATGACAAATTGTAAAGGCAAGAAAATGTTTAGTTTACAATAAGAGTTTTGGTTTGTTTCTTTTTTGGTTTGGGCACATCATGTTAGTTGTTTTTCCTCCAAAGCAGGTGCTTAAAAATGCACATAACATAAATACACACCGTTATATACTGTAGGCAGTCGCTGAAAGTTATGAACACTCACTGGTCTTGACACTATATCTGATGGCATCTCTGCATCTCTGCAAGATCTCAGACTCCGGCTCTCCTCTGTCTCTCAGCTCGAGGTCCAGCAGCTTCTTCAGCTGCTCGGGGGAGTGCCACTCACAAACCTGGAAAACAGGCACAGAGGTGTCACTGTCAAGGTCAACCAATAACCATAGTTGAAGCATATTTTACACTATCCACCATCTAAAGAGACAAAACTAAAAAAAAAGGTAAGTCAAATATAAATTAAATATAAATATATATACATATAATTTGATGACTTTAGACAGAAACAAATAATATAATTATAACTTTAAGATTCAGTTCTGTTGTTTAAATGCTGCTGATTTTTCAATGCAACCACTAACCAGTGCTTTTCCTTATTGTTGGTCATTTACATACTGTTACAATGATGGATGTTTATATTAAATATAACTACAGTGTCAGCTCACAGCTTTGTCTTTGTTCTGTGTGACGGGTCGATGTCTTTAAAATGTGAGAACGCCAACCTTTGTTAGGGAGGGCCAGCCAATCACAGGTAAGTTGGTCTATAATATAAATGGTTTAACAAGTAAACAAAAACAAACTAATACAGCTCAAACTTAAGGGCTGGGCCAAAGCACAGTGTAAGATAAAATAATCAAAGATTTTATAATCCCCTGCAATTAAATGGAATTTGAATGAATATTCGTTGAAATTAAAATGTAATTATATTTTCATACAAATTCACAAATACTTAAATGTAGGTACACTATAATAAATATGTCAGGTTTCTACACGAAACAAAGAATATTTAAACTGTAAGTAAGTGTATGTAGTCTTTAAATAGTCATAATTAATCTTAGGTGGTGCATGTGTAATTTTAAGTCTTGCATAACTTCAGGTGTGTTACAGCAAGTGTAACAAATTATTATAATTGTTTTAAGTACTGCCAAGCTAATTTCTTGGTAATTTTTTGGAATAACATCATGCATTGTAAGTACGCTGCACTTTCCTGTAAACGCCTTTTGAAATTCAAATGTTTGCTGTGAGGCAACAGTGCTAATGACCACGCCACCGTGCTGCCATCCATCCATGTAAACTGTTTCTTGTAAAAAAACAAACTTGTTACCCCCTTATTCTAGAGTGCCAACTTTTAAATATTTATAGGTAAATATAATTGCACTGTACTTTCAAAGAAAGTAGTTGGAGTTCCATGTTTTAAATCCATTTTAAATACCCTGGATTTCAAATAATAAATAAATACAACAATGCGTTACCTTCTCTTGGACGTTAGTGGCCTTCTTCACTGCCTCGTCCACAATGATTTCCATTGCTTGTCTGATAAAGGACTCTGATATTTGTTCATCTGCAGTGGAGCCGTTCACATCAAAGCTGCCAGCTGGAGAACATTTTTCAGGTTGTGCCACAGGAGCCTGGCTTTCGCAGGACTTAAACCCTGAAAAGAAAAAAGAAAAAAATGGGCCTTACTCTGTCTCAGACAACATTTTTTTGTCCCCTTGTTGCATAAAATAAAAGAAAGGAACAACACATGTCACTTCATTACCCAGTCCTGCTTCTAGTTTCTTAATTTTCCCTCTGATTCCAACGATTTCTTGATTCACTTCAAATTAATTTCGAGGCATTAAAATCACGAATGAAAGAAACAGCTTTCATGTGATGGCAGCTTAATACATTTGTGATTTTGCACAAATGTTACTTCCAGTTTAATGGTGCATAATTATCATAAAACAATTAAGCAACTGCATAAATGCACATATTTGGCAGGATCCATCTGCTCTGCCCTTCTAAATGCACATGTGGGGAACCAAAGAGGCAGAGAGAGCACAGAAAACATGAAAAGAAGGAACAGTGGAGGGAGGTGGGTTTGCAAAGCAGCATGTCGAGGCAGCAGCGACTCCATGCAGGTTGGAGCAGCATAAATAGCACACACCATATCTAATTTGCCAATAGGATGCACATAACATATCAGCCGAGTCATCAGATAATGTGGGCTGGCACTGAGATGAGCTGATAGGCTGATTGCAGCCCTTCCTGACTCTGCGGATTGCTTGAACTAACCCTGTGCTCAAGCGTCACCTGCCACTTAACTGTACTTTACGTTACTTTTTCCCTGTGTAAGTGTAACTTTAAGATCTCACTGTGCTATGCCCTCTCATGTCTTGTCATATCTTTCTTGCACTCTTCTGGCATGATTGTCCAAGTTGTCACCTGACCTCTGAGCTGACTGACCTCTGGCCTTGTCAGTTATGGCAACAGTCCAAATTGTAGGAATAAATGAACTCAGTCACCCTCAAAACAAACTGCTGCTTATCTTTTGAACTCCATTCCAGTAATTAAATTAAAGACAAATGTTACTTTTCATTTTGAAAAGAACAATTTCAAATTCAGTTTTTTTTTCCTTTTAGCATTGTCTCAAGGCCGGGCTATTTCCAGCAGATACAGAGCAGTGCAGAGAGATAACAAAGAGAACATTTAAAGGTCTTTAAAGCGACAAGTTTAGATGTGTGGAAGGCTTTCTGAGGAACTGAGTTAAAGAATTCAAAATCCTTTTTTACTTTTTAAAATGTTTTTCCTTCCCTCTGAGTGTTGTTCCAAAATTTGATGAGGTTATCAAGCTCAAAACATAATTTTTAGTTGTTATTCTCGCAGGAATACTGATTGATTTCTACTGTGCATTAATAAAATATAAAGAATAAAAATACAAAATGACTTTAAACATATCAGAGCATTACATTTATGAAAGAATATAATTTATTTCACCTAAAAAGATGCAGCATGTGATAGTTTGTGCTAAGTGAAGTCCATAGAACACAAGTGTTATAAGTGATCTTTTGCAAACTAAACTAAAAGTTCCACTGAAAAAGTCTTACCATTAATGTGTCTCTCCATATTTGATGAAGTTTCCCAGCTGTGATGCTGCCTTATTTTGTGCCTCTTCTTTATTGCACGTTACCACTAAGCCGTCCTATTTATACACAGAAGGACGGACTCTTCTGATGTCATGGAATTTCCCAGATCTGGGTTTGGATGCACAGCAATCAGTAACATCTGCACCACTACACAAAGTTACCAGCGAATACCACTGATAGTTATGCTGACTTGTGTTTTTACTGTACCTTACTGTTCTTTGATTGGAGGTTAAAAAAGAAACCCTGCACAATGCAGCTGTACAGTTATGGCCGTGAAACACAGAAATAGACGTGCAAAAGCGCATCAAAGAGAAGTGCAATTGACCTCAAGGTTGTGCAACAAACGTTTAGGTAGCTGCATGCAGCTGAGCACCACCAAACTGCTGGAGTGAACATTGTCCTTTTACCCCTGTTGTGGAAAATTACTGAAACTGCCCTTACTGTGGAAAGTTACAGAATCTCTCAATTTTGGCTATGTGGTATATTTTATTGATAGCTAAAAAAAAAAAAGCATAGAGAATACAACCACCTCATCACATACTGACAGTGTACAAGGTGCCACATTTTGACTCACTGGCTTTTACTTGAGTATCTGGATAAAGCACCAGCTGCACACAAAAAATACTTCACTAGCGTCATCACTGTTGCTGGATGTGTACCTGCGGTAACTGAGGACATGTAACCATGGAAGAAACACTGCACGTGTAAGCCCGAGGACATAATTAAATGCATGAGCTTCAGCAATTAGCAACAGCAAAAAAAGCAAAATGACGTGCACAAAAGAAGGAGTATTTTTTGTGTGTTGGAAAAGGACTCCAAGTGGTTAATCTTTAGCTTAAAATATAAGGAAAACTGATTTCTGGCCAAGGTGGCGTGTGCATTACAAAGATGCTCAGAAGTGGCAGAAACAGCGATGATTATAACTAGGATGATAATGACAGTTACAGAACGCATTCGCTTCAACTGGGTTGACAAATGAAGCCAAAAACTGCACTTCCTCAAGCTGCCACTAGAGGATTGCTCCAATGAGTCAGTCCCTGTGGACTCACAAAATGGCCAACATTACAGCATTAAACAGCACGTTTACAGCGTGGTATCCTGTATGGACAACCTCTCCTTTATAGAAACTGCATGGTGGGTGAAAAGAAATCATCACAGAGTTATACTGATAAGGCCTTCAGTTAAGCGTGCGGCTCCTTTGATTGACAGGTGTTCCAGTACAGGCAGTAACCCATGGTGTTTCACTCCCAAATCAAGTCACTGATGTGGACGTCTCAACCATGTTTGTGGCGTTGGCGCCTTTTGGATCATTTTTAATGGGAGTTTTGGTGAGCAGCATTCTAGTATTTTATTAGTCTGTTACTTAGCATTATATCCTGCCGGGCATACATGGAGTTGGATCCATGCAATGCTTTTGCATGCAGCAAAAGTCCAGCAGCAGTTTTTTTCCATTTAACCTCTTGCCTTTATCAGACAGCTGATTTGGGAAAAAAATCATTAAAGAATGATAAAGTTCATACAGTTTGTAACCCTTACCCATTATTGAACCTACATGCAACGTGGAGCAGTTGAGCAATAAAACCCTGCAGCTTTAGTACGGCACTGTAACAGGTTTATGCTGCTGCAGACCCACAACCATCCTGAATCCTCTGCTACTGATTTATTGCCTTCCTAGAGAGAAGGAGGGGCTTCTTAGAAACTGGAGCCCTCATCTTAGAGATAAGATAAGAAATAAGCGGCATCAATATCCCTTAACGCAATCCAGAGACAAAGTTTTAAATGGAAAAGATTGATTTATCATTAACTATTAAGTATAGTCCTGGGAGCTTATGCAAAAATGTAAAATGCCATTTACTTATTAACCCTCTCAGGCTCAAATTAAACCTTTTCTTTTGTTGCTAATGCACAACCAAGTCCTGCAGTGGTACTTCTGAGTTAAAAAAAAACCTCATAAAATATGTATGTGGGGTTGTAAGGAAGAGGACTCACTTACTATATTTATTTATATTATATTATCTGTATAGCACTTTAGAGCACACCTTTCACTTTATTAAAAGCACCTTATCAAGCACTTTATTTAGCATTGCACTTTAAGCATGGATTTGCACACAAGAAGTTTAAATATTTATTGACTATTTATTGGGAATTTTAAAATCAGTTGGTAGCCTTATTTCAGATCCTGCACAGCTGCTCCTCGTCAAGGAATGTGGTGGTTGTCTGTGAGGAGAAAAGAATGGTGATTGAGATTGTGATTAAGGTATACCAGTAAGGAAAACGAATGCAAATGTGTGTGTGAAATCTAGGGATAAAAGTGGTGCAAATAAGTGTACGATAATGATTACTCACCTTTCTTGCCTGTGTCCTCTTCAAGGTGTTTGGGCAAATGTTTCCC